AGAGATGTGCCTCTCGCGCGAAATGCTGATGTCATTCAATTGGTTCTCACGCGAGATAATATAAATAATTTATTATGGCATCAGCATTTCGTGCGAGAGGCACATCTCTAATAATAATACTATCGTTCTTATGCGGATTGCTAATTAAATGTTTTATAAACCAAAATGTGTTCTAAAGTTATATATGAATAGAAATTCTAAAGTGTAACTTTATTCTCCAACATTTAATAAAGCTTGTAAACGAATTTCTATGTAATTTCTTTGGTTCTCAATAAAGTTGAATTATTAATTAAATTAAATAAATTTATTTAATACTAATAATGATAATTATTTATTTGCGTAATATGAAAAATCTGTAATATATAAAAAAGTTTATAGTCCATGACTACCTAGTTGGTTTCCACCCTAGTATGTACGTACGTACAGTACTGTACGTACAATGATAAATAGGATATCAGTCAAACTAAATATAAACGAAACGATGGTATACTATACTTATTTACGAATTAATAGATTAACAATTAATTTGTTTGTTTGATTCATATTATCCAAAATGAATGGATTTTTAAGGCACTTTGTGTTTTTATTGATCTTTCTTTAGTTGCAGTTTTTAACATGTATGAGCTTCTAAGAACTTTAAATCTTTATTTAAAAACGACTATTATTCTTAAATATTTATATAAGTTCCTCTAAAGTATTGTCATTTTAGTTGCATTTCGTATTTATTTAGATAAATTCTTTCCTTTCATAAGATCCTCGATTTTTTTCCTATTAAATTATTTACTCGAAACCATTGATTTTTATTCTGCTGCTGAATTTATTGAGATGTTTTCAATGTCTCATGAGTTTTTAGCATAGTTCTTAATATTCGGTATTCATTAGTATAATGCTAAAAGAAAGTCATATATTTTTTTTGGATAAAATGCTTAATGATGACATAAAGCAAATATTGTACAAACAATAGCTTTATTTTGAAAGAAAAACTCCAAACACAACACCTGTCATTAAAGTGATGATTGATATTATAAATAAGCGAAAAAATTATATGAAAATAAATATAGATGATTGTATATTAGGGCTAAAGGTTCTAATCAATTTATACACTACCGCAAGCAAAGGAGATTAATATCATTGCTATATAATACTAATTGCTATAATCTATTTAAATGGTAAAGTAAAAGATCTGTAAGACTATAAGGCAGTGATTATTATAAATAAAATGAAAGAAAATTATCATTTGCTAAAAAAAAAAAGGTGATAAAAAAATTCATAATCGAGGTAGAAATGCAAATATATTTATTATGTTTGTAGTATTAAATTCTCGCGACTTGTTTACGACCGCGATTCAAATAATTCATGTGATTATAAGCGCGGAGCAGGATGACTACAACGTCTGCATGACACACATTCAAAGATGAGTCAGGATCAAAATAGTTTATTACTGTCTTGATTCATATATAAGACTACAAATCAGAAATGATGAAATAGAAATTTTTTTCTAAATTTATAGATCATTATATTATCTTTTGAATATGCATTTTAAACAAAGTTAATAAAGGAATAAAGTAGAACGAAACATGAACAATTTATAAATAAATCATTTAATATAACATAAAACAATAATAAATTTTAATAAAAATATACATTCGAGAAGGATTTAATAATAAAATAGAGCAAATCAAAAACAATATGAATGCAAAATTAAGATACCTGATTTAACCGATTAGACAATGATATCAGACGCATTTACAGGTTGTGAAAGATTTGCAAAACTTAAAGCACAACTTGTATAGGAGGCCTGATGATGTGTAATATAAGCTTTTGTAGCTTTATTATTATTTGATGTGTTAATCGAGAAATCTTCAGAAGCTTTTAACTTTTCAATTAATTCAATTTGACTCCACAATTCGGGAAATCCTTTCTTATCATCATAGTCATTATACCAACTTCCAAAAACATCATGTAATTCTTGTGCTGTTGGTCTAAGCTCGGGCCTTGCATCCCAGCATCTTTTAATTAGATCACTAATTAATTTAGGGGTATAATTCTCTTTTATTTCGGGACGATAACCTTGGCTGATTTGTAAAGCAAGATTATAGTTATGTGGAATATTATAGTAGGGTGGAAATTCTGACGCTACTTCATTCATGAGAATTCCAAAAGAATATATATCAGCTGCTTGTGTATATTCTTCACCATAAAGAACCTCAGGAGCAACGTATGGCAACACGCCAAATATTTGATTTTTGGGTTTTTCCTGTGATTCATAATCGGATGGTTTATATATACCAAAATCCGTGATGTATGAACTAATACCATTATCAATTACTACATTCCCACTATGAAGGTTTTTATGAACCAAGTTTGCTTTATGAATATTATAAAGACCTTCGGCTGCCGTCCGTATGATATTTAATTTTGGTCCCCATTTTAAGTTTTTAAAATTTTTATTCAAATACTGACGAAGACTACCGTCTGATGCATACTTCATAATTAACATAAAATCGTCAGTTTTGGGATCTCTGGTTATTCCATAACAAGGAATAATATATGTGTTCAAATTTAATTTCATCTGAAGATTAATCTGATAAAATAAATTTAAATTTTAAATAAATAATTTATTTAACAAATTCTTGATAGATAGTAAATATTTTAAACAATTACCTCTTCTAAAAATGTTTCAATTAGATTTTTTGAGTTTCGTAAATTTTTAAGAACAACATCTTGATAACTAAATCTACTCCACTGTTTAGTTTCGTTATCCCACCTTTTGATATATCCATCATCCCAATTTGCTTCAAATACTGTCCCATAACCACCTTTACCAAGATATTTAGCATTGAAGAATCTTTCATATGGAACCCATTCCAATACTTCCCAACAATTAGTCGCATTAAGTTGTGTGTTTTGAATAAACTTATCAACTGTACTATCACCACTTGTCCATTTGTCGAATTGTTGTTGAAAATGTTTTGCATTGCAGGACATGCACCATCCGTATCCAGTGTTCTGTTGCATGCATTCTTTACATACTCCATATTTTCCGTGATGATGTTCAAATTTTTCAATTGACACTTCATCGGCTAGTTCCGAGTTTTCTACAGCTCTTTTACTATTTCTTGAACCCATATTTACTTCTAAGTTTATTGATCAAAAAAGAAAAAAATGCAAATGAATTAAAATATAAAACTTCATAAAATCCTACTTCACAAATAATCTTTAACACTTACCGGAATTTAAAAGTCGTTACTTATTGTCGTGTTATAATGTTCGTTAAAAAAAAAAAAAGAAAAGAAAAAAAAAGAACCAATCACGTAAAAAATATATATATATATTGATAGGCTAGAATTCGTCAAGGTAGGATAGCATTAAATGATTCATAAAAAAAAAAAAAAAAATTTAAAATTGCAATCTTCTCTCTCTAAGAGAATTGACTACCGAAGACATCAATCAGATTATGAACACTACTTTTTTTTGAAAAAAAAATTTCAATGTTGTTAAAATATTAAGACAAATAATAGGAATTCACAAATGTTTCACAAATGTTTCACATAGTAAAAAGAATTACCGAAAAAACCGTTTTTTAAAGATACTCGCCAATCATTTTTTCGGTTTCGGCAATTCTATTACTAACTGAAACGTCGTGTAATTCATATGTCTAACTGGTTGTTCATTTTGTGTGCCTATAACAGCAAATAAATTTCTAAATTGAATTTGACAAATGTTTCACTTAAATAATTAAAGCATACTGATTTTTTCTGAGAAACGTTTCAATCAATAGTGTGAATGGGCCAGTACTGCATATTAAGAAATTAAAGATCATATGACTACTGCAAAAAATGTCATATGCACAATACGTTTTCATAAGTTACTTTGAATTTATTTTAGGTATGGGTGATGCCAAGGGAAAACTTTTTCACTGTACCGGACTTCCGAAAATTGGAATATTACGTAATTTAATAAGTATTTACATCCAAAATATCTCAAATTGATTATAATATTAAATTCGTACTTGCATACTTTCCTTTGGAAATACTCGTATTTTGTACTTCAGATCTCGGGTGATAAAATTTTTAACTGCGCATATCATAGGCAGAGGTTAGTTTGATTGGCTGATTTCTCTTTACGGTACAATAAAATTGAAAATTTTTATAAGAATTGATAAACGCATAAATTAAATACATGCAGAAGATGCATAGAGTGGAGCTAAAATGCTATTCACAACTACGTAAAAAAAACAAATATGCTTAAGAACGAAACCAACTTAATAATATCTTATTCACCAGCAAACTTTATCTTGCCACAGATACTCCCGAAATTTTTTTTTTTTAAAAAAAAACCAAGATTTGAGAGAAACCAGGAATTCTAAAAATAGATTTATACTAATAATAAATCTATTTTTAGAATTACATTTTCCCTTAGCGACACTCATTTAAATAAAGCTTTTTGTTCTTTGCTTATTTCAGAAAGTCGTCATATATAATACCAGACCTCTTTAAAGATTATTTTTAAGTTAGCTTTTTCTTAAAAAGTGCTCTCTAAAATATATAAGTATGTTATCCGGTAAAATTATTTACATCAGCTAATCAGACGAATTTCCGTCCATGATAAGGATCAACTTTTCGCTTACATGATATTCTGAAACAAATACCATTTAGCGACAATTTCGTCTAGTGCTAATGATATCGACATGGAGAAATTTTATTAAGACTCAAAAAGGCAAAAATATTATCTCTAGATCGTCGGTGCTGATCCTGTTGGGATAAAAAAAACGCACTGTTAGGCGAAATCATTTTTGCATGATGACAAATGACGAAATCCAAAAAAATTTAGCTGATGTCACTTGTAAATATAATAATGAATATAACGTTAAAAACATACAGATTGTACAATAGCTAGGGTTGGTCTTCGAAGCAGAGTACAAACTTTGTAAAATTACGGAGATTTCCGTCTACGTAAGACAATTTCTGCCCCGATTTTTCAACAGATGGAAAATCTATAATAACACTTCTGGCTATGGTTTATTAAATTCCGGTTAGGTTAAAACTAGAAATGGTAAAAATAAATTTTCACCGATTTAAAACCATGTACCGTATTATCACGAAATAACGCCCATGGTGTTATTTCGTTATAATTTGTATCTTTATTAAATCAATTAAAATTAATTTATTGATTGATCTAATGATAAATCAAATTATAATTAACATCGACGTTTTTTTGTCTCGAAATAACGCCCATGGGCGTTATTTCGTGATAATATGGTATTAAATTTAAACCACAGGTCGGTGAAAGTTGTTCACCATCTCTAGTAAAAACACTTTCGGAGAAAAATCACATTACATCACCCGGGTAGTCATAGACAGAAGTTCGTCTGATTGGCTAATAAATTTAATTTAATTTTAAAGTAAAAAAAAAACCATATAGAAGGTTTCATTAGAGTTGTAGGACTCCATAATCAAAATAAGCTCTAATTCTCG